GCTGCAAGCACCTTTACCCACTGAACCATCTCATCAACCCCCAAGCCTTTTTTTTTTTTTTTTTTTTTTTATGAGATAGGGTCTCACTAGGTAGTCCTGGCTGTCCTGGAACTCACTATGTAGATCAGGCTGGCCTCAAACTCAGAGACCCACATGCCTCTGCCTCCTGAGTGCTGGGATTAAAGGCCTGCGCACCACCCCAGCTCCAAGCAAGGACTGGAGACTTGTTAATTGAAAGTCTCTGTGACCCAATAATTGAAAAATATTTAGTATTCCTTATTTCAAATGACTCCATTAATTTAGCGTGTGGAAGTTGTAATGAGTTTTCAAAAGTTAGCCCCTACGTCATGTGTTGTTTCTCTAGCCAGTCTTTGTTCCCACGTTATCTGCAGTGAGACTGTTTTTGAGGACTCAGCTCAACGCCTTGTCAGAAACCGAATCCGGTATATTGTGCGCCAATATTTTCTCTTGTTATTTTCACACACTCAGCTTGGTGCGTCAATATTTCTTCCTCGGAGCAGATTTTTAACTTGTAAAATTAGCGCAGTGGTGTACGTATGTTCACGGTGTTGAGCAACCAATGTCTAGAAGGTTCCATCTTGCAAAGGGGGAATCCCAGGCCCATTAGACAAGTCTCCCTCCTCTCTCCCCACCCTCCCCCCAAGCCCATGGTGCTCTTGTTCATTTTCTGTCACAATAACTAACACACCACAGGCTGGTAGTTTACAAAGCACAGCAGTTGGTTTAGCCAGTGGTTCTGGAGCCTGGGAAATTTAGGAACAAGGCTTGGCGGGATCCTTCGTCTTAACATGGTGAAAGACACCCATGGCAAAACAGGTAAGGTGTCTCTCTCCCTTTATTTAATTTTTTTATAATTTATTTATTTATTTACATTGGCATTTTGCCTGTGTCTATGTCTGTGTGAGGGTGTTGGATCCCCTGGAACAGGAGTTACAGACAGTTGTGAGCCGCCATGTGGGTGCTGGGAATTGAACTCAGATCCTCTGGAAGAGCAGCCAGTGCTCTTAACCGCTGAGCCATCTCTCCAGCCTCCTGCTTTTATTTGTATTTGTAACACTTGTAGGTAATCTATGTATATGGTGCTGTGGAGCCATATACATAGATTACCTACGGGTGTTAGCATGCAAGTATGTATGTGCACCACGCATGTGCATCCGTGGTGCCCCTGAGGCCAGAAGACCACTTTGGGTCCCCTGGAACCGGAGGTACAGAGGGTTGTGAGCCGCCATGTGGGTGCTGGGCACAGAACCTGGGTCCTCTGTAAGAGCGGTGGGTGCTCTAAATCACTGAGCCATCTCTCTGGCTCCTGTTTTTATTTTTCATTTTTTTTTTGAGATAGGGCCTCCTACAGCCCAGCTGGCCTCAAACTTCCCATATAGCTAAGGCTGACCTTGAACTTCTGATATCCCTGTCTCCACCTCAGGAGTGCTGGGATCTCTGGTGTGTGACACCACAGCTGCTGTATGCAGTGATGAGGGTGGAACCCAGGGCTTGACACATGGCAGGCCAGCGCTCTACCAACTAAGTGACATCCGTGGCCCCCATTTTTCGTTCTCCTTTAGAAAATCATTGGCGGCATCATGGGCACCCACCCTGGTGACCCCATCTTGACTGTGTGACTCCCAAAGTCCTCACTGCCAGCATCATCCACAAAGGAACTTGAGGGTGAGCTTCCCACGCTTGAAGTTTAGGAGAAGACAGGGAACCCGTGGTACCTGGCAGTTGGCATCCTACTTAATTTCTGTGGCCCTGACTCCACTGCAAACCCCGCCCTAGGTGGGACTGTGGAGTCCTTGTCCTTTTGTGACTAGCTCGCTTCAGTCAGCCTAGGACGCTCAAGGTTCATCCATGTTTTAACCTCTGTAGAATTTCCTTGTTTTTGTCTCTCAAAGTTTTGTTTTTGAGACAGGATTTCTCTGTGTAGCCCTGGCTGTCCTGGAACTCATACATTTTGGTTTTTGATACAGTATCTCAGAACTGATGGTCCTCTTGCCTCAGCCTCCCAAGGGCTGTGATTCCAGCCACACTTGGCTTTCTTATTTTTTGAGACCGAGTAATATTCCGTTGTATGGATATACCACATTATCTTTGCCCATCCGTCCATCAGTGGACGGCTCTACTGAGTAAAGCTCTTATGAATGAACAAGGGCGCACAGATGTCTACTAGGGACCCGCCTTTGAATTACCTTGGATAGATAGCAAAAGGTCTTCATTTGGGATGTGGCACACTCTTACAGGTACAAACTCCACCTCCTCCTCTTCAAACAACGTGGGGTCAGTGCTGTTTGTCTGCTATAGGCTGGGTGTGGTTGGTTGCCCCCAGGAGGCTCGCTCCAGGGGCCTTGGTGCTGGATGGTGCAAATCTCAAGAGGTGGGGCAGATGCAAATGATTTACATCATGGGTGATCCCACCCTGATGAATGGACTCACCCTGTCACTCAAAGTAGGCCAAGTCCAGTATCACGGCACTAGTTAGCTCTTACGGGAGTATGACAGCATAAGGCAAGGTTACCTCACATGCTCTGCATCACCCTGTGTCACAGGATGGCAGTGAGAGGGAACTTGTCAGGACTCTGGTGCCGTCCTGGGTCTACCAGCATCTGGGGACAAAGAAACCTCTCTTCTACGTAAGATGCTCAACCTCAAGCCCTTCGTTACAGCAGCACATGAAGACTCCATCTATGGTCTGCAAGGCAGATGCTCCTGGGGGTAGACTCTGAGGCAGCAACGACCTGGGACCAACAGCTTCAGGAGGGAAAGAAGAAAACTGGATTGGCTGAGGGTGGTCCAAGTGTGATGTCGTTTCAATACCAGGTTCAGTGTACCCCAGGGGGGTCACCTGAGAAGCATGTAGACTCTCATTGGATAGAGCTACATCCAAGGGCTCCAACAGCAGTAGTTAAGTCTTTCTTTCTGAAAAGTGTGTGTGTGTGTGTGTGTGTGTGTATACATTCATGTGCATGCTGGTGTACATGCCATGTGTATATGTCTGCATAGAAACCAGAGATTAACCACCCGTGTCTTTCCTTCTCAGGCAGCATGCATCCTGTTTTGTTTGATTGTTGAGATAGGTTTCCATTATGGAGACAAGGCTGGCCTAGAACTCATTCCGTAGACCAGATTGGCCTCTGCTGCCACAGTTGGCTCAAGCACCTTGTGTTTCAATCCAGGCTCTCTCAGGCTGCTGAGATGGCTCAGCGGGTAAAACCTGCCACCGAACCCGATGACCCGACTCCCTTCCACAGACATGACGTGATAGAAGGAGAGAATTGGCTCCCTCCCTCACGCAGGTCCACACACAAATAAATGTCAAAAAACAAAAAACAAAGGGCAGGCTCTTTCACTGAATCTGGAGCTCATAAGTAGGCCAGCTGGTTACTGAGCCTTAGGGACTGGCTGGTCTCCATCTCCAAGCTGAAGGGATTACAACATTCCCTTTTGCTGGTGACAGTGTCCACAGTCAGGTCGCCATGCTCACAGGGCTAACGATCCTGACTTGAGCTATCTCCCCAGCCCTGGCTGGCCTGAAGTTTGCCCAAGTTGGCTGCCCCCACTATACTTAGATCACCTGGAAAGATCTCGGTGTCAAATCTCTGTGCCCACCATCCTCTACTCACTTTTTATCTTTCAGGTTTTTTTTTTTTTTTAATTATGGGCTGGAGAGATGGTTCAGAGGCTAACAGTACTGGTTATTGTTCCAGAGGACATGGGTTCAATTCCCAGCACCTACACAGCAGCTCAAAACCATGTGTTATTCCAGTTAAAGGGAATCTGACTCCCTCTTCTGGCCTCTGTGGGGCACTGCACACACATGATGCACAGACAAAATACTCATACACAAAAAATAATAATAACAATAATAATAAAACTCTGGTGTGGTGGCACACGTCTTTAATCCCAGCACTTGGGAGGCAGAGGCAGGCTGATTTCAGTGAGTTCAAGGCTAACCTGCTCTACAGAGTCTTCCAGGCCAGTCAGGGCTACACTAAAAAACAAAATAAATAAAGTAGACCCATTCCAAGTGTAACCTGAGTTCACACCCCTTGGCCAACAGAACACCATGAGGTCCTTTGGAAGCTCTCAGTGTGGACTGCAGGGTTGGAGTATGTCTCAGTCCATATCACTCAGTGTGATGGCTGGATCTTAAGTGTCCCCCAAAGTCACATGCTATTGGGAGGTGGTATTGGCAGCTAGAGCAGCAGATTTGGGGCAGAGAGACGGCTCAGTGGGTAGAGGTGCTTGCTGCCAAGCCTGATGACCTGAGTTCAATCCCTGGACCCATGTGATGGTAAAGAACTGAGTTTTGTTTTATTTTTCAGGACAGAGTTTCTCTGTGTAGCTCTGGCTGTCCTGGAACTCCCTTTGTAGACCAGGCTGGCCTCAAACTTACAGAGATCCTCCAATGTGGGATTAAGCCACCACCATCAGGTTTGAAAAACGACTCTTGAAAGCTGATCACACACACACACACACACACACACACACACACACACACACACACACACATATACTGTGGGAGACCAGCTGGGAGATGGGCTCCCACATTTTCCCCCAGGGTACTCTTGAGGACTGAGGGATAAGAGATTTAGATAGAAGGATAGAGGGGCGAGAAACAGATAGAAACATAGGATAGCCTTGGGAGGGCCTGAATCTTTATCCACCGGCCCCTTCTGTCTCTTCTAAAAAGCTATTTATAGCAATGCCAAGGGGTGGAGCCAAAGACCTTCCGCCAGCACAGCCAAGTGCAGACCCTTTCCAATCACCTGGTAACCACACATGTGGTCAAGCAATTCTCTAATGCAGCTGTGCTGGGTAAAGCACGCTCAGATCTCACTAGGAACCTTTGTGGGCCTCTACAACACACACACATACACACACACACACACACACACACACACACACACACACACACACACACGAGCCTCCCAGACAAATGATTAAACACAACAAAATGAGACAGTGTGGGAGGCTCTTTTCTTTGCCACAATAATTTCCCGTTTTCTCATCTTGATAACTTTCTGGGTTTTTTTTTTTGTGGAGGGAATTGAGGTGGTGGTTTTGGGGACAGGATCTAATGTAAGCCCAGGCTGGCCCCATTCTCCCTATGTAGCTGAGGTTGGTCTTGAACTCTTGACTCCCTACAGTCACTCCCTCTAGAGTATTGAGATCATGAGATCACTAACCTGTGCCATAACTCCTGACCTAGTGACATCTCAACAGATGTTAAGTAGAGTTGATATTCTATCTCAGAATTTTAACAACTTAAATACCCAGGTAACGGGTCACGGGGTTGTAGCAATAATTTATTTTTATGTTGAGGAAATGTCCAAAGCAATAACAACAACTGCCACCACAACACAGCTGACTGGCAGGTACACTATACCCTGCAATTTCCGCCCACTCACATTCTTGGTGATACTTAATGGTAATTGCATGTTCATTAACATACGGTGATTCGAGCCAAGGAAAAAAGACTTGTGGATTTGAATTTGGAATTCAACAAATCCGGTCTGGCACAGTAAACAATTAGCTAAGTGCTGGGTGTGGTGGTGCATGTCTATGATCTCAGCACTATGGAGGTGGAGGCAGGAGGATCAGGAGTTCCCTGGGGTACATGAGACCAAGTCCCATAAGAAACCCTGTGGGGCTAGAAAGCACCCAGCATGTTAGGCATTGGAAACGTGGGTCAGATTGGCTGTGAATGCTGTCTCCATTCTACTGGAGTTTAAAGCCTATTGAACAGGCTTGTGCTTCTAGTTAATTCCAGGTCAAGTTCATCTTTCCTGGGAATCTTGTCTGCATGGATGGATCTGATAAGGGTCAAGGTTCTGGATGAAATGACAAAAGGTCTATTCTGACTAGTTCCTCTCATGTCTGGTCTCCCAAATACTGTGACAGTCCACTGTAGCTCTAGCTAATATACGTTCCCAATTATGAGATAACTTTCCTGTGCCCTTTGACAGCTCAGATCAGAGAGTTCAGCGTCCTCTTGAAATATGAAAATGTAAGCTTGTAGAGCTTATTTCCTGTATGAATCCTCAGATGAAGAAAGGCCCTTACCACATTCATCTTCAGCATGGGCTCGCTGGTGAATCAGGAGACTTGAACTCCAGCTGAACCCTTTCCCACAAACCCCACACTTGAAAGGTTTCTCTCCAGTGTGAACCCTCTGGTGGGCTTGAAGGTATGAGCTCCAACTGAAGACTTTCCCACACTCCTCACACTTGTATGGTTTCTCTCCAGTGTGGACCCTCTGGTGGGCTTGGAGGTAGGACCTCTGCCGGAAGCGTTTTCCACACACGTCACATGGGAATGGTTTTTCTCCTGTGTGGACTCCACGGTGAGCTAGAAAATTGGATGCCCGACAGAAACCTTTTCCACACTCCTCACATTGATAGGGTCTTTCTCCAGTGTGGGACCTCTGGTGGGCTTGAAGCTGTGACCCTACACTGAAGGCCTTCCCACACTCTGCACACTGATACGGTTTCTCTCCTGTGTGGACTCTCTGATGCACTTGGAGACTTGAAAACTGACTGAAGGATTTCCCACACTTCTCACATTTATAGGGTTTCTCTCCTGTATGGATTCTACAATGAACGTTCAGATCTGAACTCCGTCGGAAGCTCTTCCCACATGTGTTACATCTATAGGGTTTCTCGCCAGTGTGGCCTCTCTGATGGGCCAGAAGGTTTGAGGCCTGGCTGAAGCCCTTCCCACACTCCTCACATACGTAGGGTTTCTCTCCCGTGTGGACTCTAATATGAATGTTAAAATCAGAACTCCGACTGAAGCCCTTCCCACAAGCACTGCATTGGTAAGGCTTCTCTCCAGTGTGGCCTCGCTGATGGTCCAGAAGATTAGAGGCCCGACAGAAGCCCTTCCCACACTCCTCACATTTGTATGGTTTCTCTCTGGTGTGGCTTATCTGATGAGCTTGGAGGTGTGAGCCTACACTGAAGCCCTTCCCACGCTCCTCACACCTACAGGGCTTTTCTCCTGAGTGCATTCTACAATGAATGTTAAGGTGTGAGCTGTAACTAAAGCCCTTGCCAGAGGCACCACATCTGTATGGTTTCTCTCCAGTGTGGATTCGATGATGGGCGTGTAGCCGTGAAAACCAGCTGAAGCCCTTCCCACACTCCTCACACTTATAAGCCTTCTTTGCAGCGTGGACTCTCTGATGGACTTGAAGATACGAGCTTTGATTGAAGGTTGCCCCACACTCCTCACATTTATAGGCCTCATCTCCTGCGTGGACTAACAGGGGTGTCTGACCATGTGAGTCTTTCCCAAGAGTCCCACACTCCTCATATTCGTTTGAGTTTTCTTCAGTGGGGACGCTCTGATGAGACTGAAATAGTGGCCTTTGACTGAGATTTTTAAACAGTGCATCAGACTGGGTCGATCTGTGTCTCTTGTGGGCTCTCTGATGGGGCTGAAGACTGGAGACCCGACGGAAGGTGTTGTCACAGTTTCCACACTTGGAGGGCTTCTCTCCTGGAACAGCACGAAGATGACGGCAGCAATCAGCATCTCTCTCACATGCCTCTTCTTCGTGGCGTTCTCCATGGTGAACTTGAAGAAATGAATTCCGACTGGAAAGTTTACTGAACTCCGCTTCTTCGCTCTGTCCAGCATCCTGTTTCCCCAACGCAGAGCCAGTTCCTCCATCGTTCCCCCTGCAGTCCCGACCCTGGGTTAACTCCCTTGTGACTTGTTGCCAGATTCGTGAGCAGAAAAGCTCCTCCTGTGGCAGGTGCCTCCATCCTGCCTCCTGAAGTGACTCCACCTCATTTAGATTCCTGGCTCCTAAAAGCATAAAGGGAATTCAGAGAGAGGTAGGGCTTGTGAATGCTCTGTTCGCTGCTGTCAGGGTTATGTAGTTAAGTCCACAGTCTATAGACTACAGCATTCCAAAGGATAGCTCTGTTAACCCTGCTGCCTCTAGGTAGGCCCCATATCTTAAAAGTTCTTCAGCCTCCCAAGAGTGGCACTAGCTGGACCCAAGCATTCAAAATGTGAACCTACAGAGTATATTTTGGATTTAAACTACAAATGCCATAGACTCCCCATACATACTTGGTCCTATTCAGAGTCAGATTAATTCAGGTTAATTAATAATGTTGGGTAATATTATTTTAAGCTGTGTTACTTTTGTTTACGTTGCATTTGTTTAACTCTGTGAAGCCGTGTTGCTTTGTCTGTCTATAACATTTGATGGTGTAATAAGGAACCGAATGGCCAATAGCCAAGCAAGAGAAAGGATAGGTAGAGGTGCCAGGAAGAGAGAATTGATAGAAAATCTGAGAAGAAAAAGAGGAAGTACCCAGAGAAGGAGGAGGGCCCAGGGGCCAGCCACCCAGCTAACAGCAAGCCACGGAGTAAGAGTAAGATTTACAGAATAAGAGAACAGGAAAAGCCCAGAGGCAAAAGATAGACAGGATAATTTAAGACAAATAAATCTGGCTAGCAACAAGCCAAGCTGAGGCCAGAATTTATAATTAAGAATAAGCCTCTGAGTGTGATTTATTTGGGAGCTGGGTGGCCGGCCCCCAAAAGAGCAAAAGCAACCAACAACATTTTGGCATTCCAACGTGGGCCTGAATTTCCACATTGGGCTTAAGAAAGCTGAGAAGGCCGGGCGGTGGTGGCACACGCCTTTAATCCCAGCACTCGGGAGGCAGAGCCAGGCGGATCTCTGTGAGTTCGAGGCCAGCCTGGGCTACCAAGTGAGTCCCAGGAAAGGCGCAAAGCTACACAGAGAAACCCTGTCTCGAAAAACCAAAAAAAAAAAAAAAAAAAAAAAAAAAGAAAGCTGAGAAGAAAAAAAATTGGCTCTTTTAAGAGTTTTTGCCTGCTAGTGAGACCTTGAGCAGCTAGTATGTTAAGTAGAAACAAAGAACTAAGTAAAAAAAAGTCTGCCACTGCACAAGCGCTGGCATTCTAGAACTCTAGGAAGGTTGAAGGCAATTCTCAGTCACCTACCTCCACCTGGGCTGTGTGTTTAGGCTTGGCTTTCACAACCTGAGAAGTAGCCAGAGCCAGTCGCCAAAGCCAGGGGCAGAGGTCCATGATGCTTCTTAAGTTAAAGTTTGTTCATGTGGTCAAAAAGGCTAAAGGATACACAGTAAAAGAGGTCCAAATGGAAACAACCTCTAAATAGGTTCTAGTGTATTTTACAATATGTGTAGGCTTAAGAAAAGAAAAAAGGTATATTCATAGAAAAAAAAATGAATAGTTTAAATAAATAGTTTTTTTTTTTTTTTTTTTTCGAGACAAGGTTTCTCTGTGTAGTTTTGGTGCCTGTCCTGGATCTCGCTCTGTAGCCCAGGCTGGCCTCAAACTCACAGAGATCCGCCTGCCTCTGCCTCCTGAGTGCTGGGATTAAAGGCGTGTGCCATCGCTGCCCGGCAAAAAATAAAGTCTTTAAAGACAGAAGTAAAGTAATATAAAAAAGAATAAGCCATGTGGAGATGGGAAATATACAGGGAGTCTGAATCCTGTATGTTATTGTGTCGATTTTGAATTTTTTGATTGTTGAGAAGCAAAAGACAGCTGCATGGTGGGCACCAAACAAACTCCTCATGGAGTTTGCTTTCAGCGTGGCAGGGCTAGCCATTTGAGCAAGAAGCTGCTCATGCCTGGACGGCTTGATAGTATGTCGTATAAACTAGACATGCAGGACCCACAGGGAAGTGACTACTGGACTTTGCCAAAACAAGGTGGGATGGTCCTTCAGGGTTCCTACTTCACAGAAGAAACTGTCAGAGATTCTACAGGACAGAGAGGAAAGTGACTGACCAACTTTGCCAATACAGGCAGGACAGTCTTTCAAATCTCTTGCTTCATTGAAAAGTCTGCCAGGTACTGTGGGTCTGACGGCTGAAGATGGATGTCCCAATGTTGCAGAGGAATGTTGGGTGACTGTTCAGGCAGCCAAATGTCTCTATTGTTAGATAATATTACATCCTTCTGGGTCTTGGGTAGAGTTGAAGACTAGATAGTTACAGTTGCAGTTTTCCTTAGATATGAAAGTAAATTAGGTATAAAAATTTGGATTTACTAAGATAGGATAGATTATGGAGTATTTTCTTTAAATTTACCAGACACAAATGAATTAGAATTCAGTACATTGTGAATGTGATCTTTACCTGATAATTGTTTTTATTGTATACAGTTTTACTATGTTAAAGTTAAAACCTTTTATTTTTGTTTAGAAAAAAGGGGAGAAATGTTGGATAATATTATTTAAAGTTTTACTTTTATTTATGTTGCATTTGTTTAACTCCTTGAAGCTGTGTTGCTTTGCCTGTCTAAAACACCTGATGGTCTAATAAAGAGTTGAACAGCCAATAGCAAGGCAGGAGAAAGGATAGGCAGGGCTGCCGGGCAAAAAGAATTGACAGAAAGAGAAATCTGAGAAGAAAAAGAGGAAGCAGCCAGAGAAGGAGGAGGACCCAGAGGCCAGCCATGCCAGCTACACAGCAAGCTATGGAATGAGAGTAAGATTTACAAAATAAGAGAACGAGAAAAGCCAAGAGGCAAAACATAAGTAAATCTGGATAGCAACAAGCCAAGCTAAGACCAGACATTTATAATAAAAAAAAAGAGTGCAGCTCAAGGCTTCACTGAACCAGAGAACGGTCCCCCTTCCCTTGAACATCCTGTGTCCTGTCATCTCACTAACACACCCTAGAAGCCAAGAATCCCATATTTATGAATGAGACCCATACAATGAGTGACATTGCAGTATGTGTGCTCACCACACACATAAATAAACATAATTTTTAAAAATATAAAGGAAATCGACTGAGGAAAACAATATTGATCTGTGGCCTCCTAGCACGTGTGTGTGTATAAATATGATACACATGTGCGCACATCCACAAGGAGCCATCCAGATGGAGAGGAAGAGCATCATGTGACTAAGTCCGAGGGAGTCGGTACAAGTGGAAACTCATGCTGAGAGCAGAATGGATTCACGAGAGCGGCAAAAGCCCTGGCTGATACCAGCCCCAAAGTTGTGCACAGGCTGAGAAGCAGGGTAGCTGAGTCACTCTGTTCTCACCTGTAGACTCACAGTTCCAACTGACCATCGTCAACACCCAAAGCATGTCTTCTCTCTTGAGTTGGAGTGAAACCTCTGGAGTCATGATCTGATGCCCTGTGAGGAATACATTTGAAATCAACACAGCAGAGTCCCAAGTCCTAAAAACAAGCATTCCACTGCATCTGCTTCAGGACATCAAACCCATTCTTCCCCAACCTATAATACAAGTCAGTGGAAGACATACATTGTTTGAAAAGCCCCAAAACATACAGACACAGACTTTAGTATACATTACTTGAAAAATGTCTATTTTCATTATCTCCTCTCCCTAGTCTCTCGAACTGTTCTTGGCCATGTCCTAGATAGACTGCCAGGGTGTTTTATGTTTCATTATATTTTTATTTAATATGTGTGTTTGTGCACATCACTGGTGGTCAGAGAAACAGGTGGGACTTGGTTCTCTCCCTCTACCATGTAGGCCCCAGGGATTGAAATGGGGTCATTACCCTTGGGACCAGGTGCTGTTACCTGATGACCAAGTTATGGCTTCAACTCTACTTTAATTTTTAAAATACTTCTTTGGATTTGTATTGATGTATATGTTAGTGTGTGTGCATGTGTGTATAGTACATGTGCCCATGGAGATCAGTAGAGGCCAGCAGATACTCTGGAGCTGGAGTTACAGTTGTTTGTGAGCCACCTGATGTGGGTACTGGGAACCAAACTCTGGTCTTCTAAAAGAGCAGACAGCATTAACTGATGAGCTCTCTCTCCAGCTGCCTCAACTTACTTCAGTGAAAATAGTGTTTGTAGGCGTGACTCAGAGTGTGCCATAATTGAGATTATGATTTGAGAAAGATGAAAACATACTACCATGATTTCAATTTTTGCTTCATTTGTAAAACTAGGAAGATTCCAACTCTGTATCACATGATGACTAGAAAACTAGAAACTACTTCAAAGGCTCGTGTAGCAGGTAGCCCTTCCAGCTTTGACCTGGAAGTACCACCCCGTGTGAGGCTTCAGTAACTGTCACGCCTACAAGATAGAGCCGAGAGAGGACCCTGAAGACCCGAGATCCAGATGGGCAAGCTCTCTTGGTTCCTGGATCCTGGACTCTGGAGGTAGACCGAGCAGAGTTCTCCAGAGAACACCGCTGGACTGTGCTACAACTTTCCCAGACTCTAAACTATCCCTTCACTTGTAAGTATTTATTACCCCACAAAATAAACCTCCCTTTTAACTACGTGGAGTTGCCTTAATATTTAAACCAATATTCTCGGATCACATCTAGGGCCAAACTGCATGGACGTGTTGTTCAGCACCAGTGTCTGCCCTCACCCAGGGACACCACATTCCTGAAGTTCTCCAGCATCACGTCACAGTACAGATTCTTCTGGGCAGCGTCCAGCAGCTCCAGCTCCTCCTCACTGAAGACCACAGCCACATCCTTGAATGTCACCATCTCCTCTGACACCAAACCCTCAACTTCAACCTTGGTCTTCTGCAAGAAGGACAGCTCTGAGAAGTGTGGAAAGATGAGTGGAGAGCAAGTCCTGAGCTAAGAACCCAGGGGCCACATTTCCATACCACTCACCCGCTTTTTGTTACTGCTCCTTTTTGGTTTTGGAGACAAGGTCTTGTTTTGTAGCCTTGGTTGATCAGAAACTTGCTATGTAGACCAAGCTGGCTACTGATCTTCCCACCTCTGCCCCTGCCTCCCAAATGCTGGAATTTCAGGTGTGAACCACCATGCCAGGCATTCATCTGCTCAATCACATAATTGTTAAAAGTTTTGATACTGGAAGATGAAAGGTCGAATCCAGGGCCTCATGCATGTTAGGCAAGAGCTCTACCACTGAGCTACATCCCCAACCCTGTCTTCCCCACATAGCTGTGCACCAACTGGAACACTCCTGGCATTATGTGCCAGATACTTCTCGGCTGAGGGGGTTCCCTGGTGCACTGTGGGATGCTCACCATCATCTTGAACCTCTATCCACTTGTTGCCTGGGGGTGAAATCAGCTTTAGAACCATCATGGCCAACGAGGCTGCTTTAACTTTCCATCTGGAAACTGGCCCTGAACATTCAGGATCCCCAGATGAACCACAGTCATCCCAGATGAGGATCCACTCCAGAGTGAGCCAGGAAAGGGGATCCTCGTCTGCCGCGTCTTGCACCCACCAGGAGACGGTCCTGCATCCTCAGTCACAGGATCCCTTGGAGTCTGAGGGGTGTTGGTCCCTGTGCAGACATCAGCGTCTGAGCTTCGCCCTCCTGACTGTTGAATGCACTGAAGGCAGCGCTGCCTCACAAGGCTGCTCCGAGGAACTAGACTTTTCCATCTGAGTACATTATTCTGCCAATACAGCACATTCACATAGTGAAGGAAACATGAAAAGCAGTTAGTAAACACACCCAGGGTGTGACTCAGCTATGGGAAAGGAAATCCTATCTTTCTCATGTGAGAAAAACTGAACATCTTCTATGATTAATTAGAACGTGTTGAACAATATACTTTCCATAAAGAGCAGCCAAAGTATTACATATTAAAAGTATGTTTTAGGGGCTGGAAATATAGTGGCTCAGTGGTTAAGACAACTGGCTGCTCTTTCAGAGGATCCAGGTTCAATTCCCAGAACACACATGGCAGCTCACAAGTAATTGTAACTCCAGTTCCAGGAGATCCAACACCCTTTTTGGCCTCTGTGGGTATCAGGCACACACATGGAGCACAGACTTATATGCAGGCAGAACACTCATACAAATAAAATATTTTTAATGTGTTTTAATTTAGTATTTCTAAACAACAGGAACAGTAGTAAAATTTCCTTGCATTTCTTCTGGAGGAAAAGGTTAATTTATACAAATATTACTATAACATTTCTTAAGACATCAAAACTGCTAAACTATTTAAATATCTGTGGATAGACAAAAGACATCTGTCACATATACCTCTTTTATGACTGATCATGTGGATTTCTGGAATCATGATGTCAATAAAACCATGAATAAAAGCGGTTATGACAGTACATGCCTGAAATCTCAGCACTGAAGGTCAAGCAGGAGTATTGAGACTTTGAGACCAGACTTAGCTACACAGTAAGACTCGGGCTGTTAAATTAAAAAAGAAAAAAGGGACTTGGGATGTGGCTCAGTGGTAGAGCCTTTGCCTAGCACAGAGAAGCCTTAGATTTAATTTCCAGCACTGGGAAAAGGAATTAAGGTGTACATCACTTGAAAATGTATAATTTAAAACTTTAATCTAGACTACTATTACAAATAAAACATTGTGCCATGAAAAAAAGAAGAAAGGAAATTGGGTGTTTTACAAACAAAATGACAGAAAAGGTGAATTTATTCAACAATACTCACTTCCCCATACTGTGCTCAATTGTAATTTCAAGGTGAGGGTTAGATTCACTTTTTTTTTAAAGATTTATTTATTTATTATGTATACAGCAAGTGTTCAGCCTGCAGGCCAGAAGAGGGCACCAGATCTCATTGTAGATGGTTGTAAGCCACCATGTGGTTGCTGGGAATTGAACTCAGGACCTCTGGAAGAACAGCCAAGTGCTCTTAAACTCTGAGCCATCTCTCCAGCCCCTAGATTCACTTTTATGTGTGTGTTTTGCTTGCATGTATGGTTCTGCACCACATGCGTACTTGGTGTCCATGGAGGGCAGAAGAGAATGTCAGATCCCCCGGAACTGCAGCTGTGGAGAGTTGTATGTCACCACGTGGCTGCTGGGAACCAAACTGGGTCTTTTACAAGAACAGAAACACTGCTGAGCCATCTCTCCAGTCCCCTGAGGTAATTTTTATAAACAAACAGAAATCAATCTATATTAAAATAAAGGTTAATAAGCATTCAGCCACAGGTCCCTGTTTAACAAACAAGTTAATTTATGTGCGTCAGTGTTTCACCTGCAGTATATCTATGCACCGTGTGCAGTGGCCAGAAGAGGGCAGCAGATCCCAGGACCTGGAGTTAAGCATGGTTGTGGGTCCTGGGAATTGAACCCAGATCCTCTGCAGGAGCAGCCAGTGCGCTCTCTTTCTCTCTCCCTCCCTCCCTCCCCTCCTCCCTCCCTTCCTAGCCTCTCTCCCATGACCACACATGCACTGGCAAAACACTTAGTGATTCTGGGGCCTTATGTCCTATGTAATCCGTGTGCTGTGTGATCACGTAATTTTCGAGAAGCATGATCATGTAATCTATGTGCATTCATGGTTTAGCTACGTAAGCCCATATGCGCAAGTGTGGGGAAATCCATAAAAAACGAATCACATACTTCTCTCCTCTCTCCCTGCACAATCTTCAATAGAACTAAACACATCCCCTCCATTCTCCTTCCCCTAATAAACTCTTTTAGTGGATTTTGTTGTGCGTCGTGTCTTTTCTCACATGGTAAACAGTGCTGCTTAATGAATAACACAGCGCTGCATAATAACTAACCCTTCCTTCCTTCCTTCCTTCCTTCCTTCCTTCCTTTCTTCTTCTTCTTCTTTTTTTTTTTTTTTCTGAGACAGGGTTTCTCTGTGTAGCCCTGGCTGTCCTGGAACTTGCTCTGTAGACCAGGCTGGCCTCAAATTCACACAGATCTGTCTGCCTCGGCTTCCCAGTTTCTGGGATTAAAGGCGTGCACCACCAACACCTAGTTCCAAGCCTTGTCTCCCTGATACTCTGGACGACAAAAACGGACAAATGCAAGCATGGTCTCACACATACAGGATGAACTCAGATCCCGGGATAAGGGAGGGTGGTTTAGAAGGTGAAAGAACTCTGAGGGAGCAGGAAGTGTGCCACTGGGGGAGGGCCTTGAGGTTTCAAAGGCCATCAGCCATTGCCACCTAGCTCTCTGCTTCTGTGGCTCTCTCAGCAGCTGCTCAGCGCCATCCCTGCCTGCCTGCCGGTTCTTGTCCAAGATCAGAACTGTACATCAACTTTTGAATACTCTACTGTTGATGGATTCTACAGCTCACCAAAAGTAAATAAGCCAAGCAAAGGGATTCTGGCCATCTCTAGCAAGGCGAGGACGGCTCTGGCAGGCCTTGCCCTTCTCCCCATTCCCTCTGCCTTGCTAAAAAACACCCAGTAGATTATATTCCTAAAGCTAGCCACCAAGGTCTATTCCCTAATTTTGCCTGAGGCTGACTACCAAAGTCCAGCTATCAAAGCCCCCTTTGATTCACCTAATTAACATGCCCAATTAAAGTTAAACACCTCATCCTAACACGGGGTTTCCCACTTTCGCTTTATAAACCGTCCTTTGCCTGTGCGCTGTGTCTGCCTCCTCTATCCAGAGGCAGTTCTCTGTCTCCCCATTCGGGACAAACACCTCTGCTCATCGTGTGCCCCTCCCCTTTTCCCTCATCAATAATCTCCTCTACCACTGCATCCTAGCCCATTCTAGCACAGACTTCCCCTTTTCCTCCTCTTAAAATTACACCTGCAAAGATTTGCTGCTGTTTTTCTGCCTGAGTCAGAAAGCAGCCACTTTAACTTTTCTTTCCTGCTTAATAAAGGATCTCACTGTGAAAACAGGTGTTTGGTGTGGTTTGTGCCTAATCTGGGGTCTGTGGGCGAGTCCCCTTCACGAAGGAACAATTTTGTCCCTGTTTTGCGGTCTGTTCCCAAACCTTAGCATCACCCTGTTGTCTGCCCTTTGGACAGCCACATGAATCACAGGTACTCACCGGATAACTGCTCCCCCTGCTGGCCACTCTGAGAAGGACACGGTGGGGTCCCTGTACCCACTAGGGGAGAGAACACAAAAACTAAGTAATGCTAAGAAAGAAGAGCCACACGTTAGGGACAGGGGCAATCCCAGAGGAGCAAAGGCAGCCAAGCACTTTCTCCCTTTGCACTTTTTTGTTTGGTTTGAGTCAGGGTCTCACTGCATAGGGTCGCCTGGACTAGAGAGTTTGAGGCCATGTTGGGCCACACAAGACTCAGTTGCACACACAAGGATTGCTAAACTGTCCACTCTGTGGTGCTTTTGAAAGGCAGCCCTAAGAAATGAATAGAAAAGCTCCTCTCTTGGTCTTCGTATATAGACACAATGAATTTGAAGTCCTACTGAGTAAACATTGGGAACAGGAGGCTCCCTGCAGCTCACCGACCAGCTTGTCTTATGGGATGGACAAGTACCAGGTTCAGTGAGCCTGTCTCAGAAGATACAGTAGAGAGTGGCCTCCACACACACCTACCACCCCTACAGACACACACACACACACACACACACACACACACACACACACACACACACACATACACGGCAAAACAAAACGTGTTGGGAGAGGAGGAAATGCAGGAAGACTTTCAAAAACGAGACAGCGTGACAGAGTGACTGTCACCGGAGTTCATTTTACTCTATTTGACTGTTGGGAAATTTCCATAGTGAAAACACAAGCAGAAAAAGAAAACACTGTGAATTCTGTGACGACAATTTCCCGGACTCCACCTGTGAACACCACACTCGTTCTTTTCCAAACAGGTCCGGGGCTGCGGAGTTGGCTTATCAGGGAACAACACTTGCTGTCCTGTCGGGACCCAGGTTGGGTTCCCAGCACCCACATGGATGCTCACACTCATCCCTAACTCCAGTTTCAGGGGATCCTATCTTCCTCTGAGCACTGTGCAAGACACACCTGCAAGTGAAACACTCCCACACATAAAGCTGAAAATGAAAAAACAAAATGGGTTGGGGGAAGGGGGGGATGGTTCAGCACTTAGGAGCACATGTTGTTCTTGCAGAGGGTGTGAGTTTGGTTCCCAGCACACACACTGGGTGGCTCACAACCACCTGTAACTCCAGCTTTGTAGGCTCCAAAACCTGTGGCCTCCATGGACCCCTGGTATACACTGACAGGCGTGTGCGTGTACGTGTGCATGTGCGTGTGCGTGTGCGTGTGCGTGTGCGTGTGTGTGTGTGTGTGTGTGTGTGTGTGTGTGTGTGTGGTCTGTGCAGGGGTGGCTGTGGATATATGCACATACTCATAATTAAAAAATAAAAGTCGGGGTTGGGGATTTGGCTCAGTGGTAGAGCGCTTGCCTAGCAAGGGCAAGGTCCTGGGTTCGATCCTCAGCTCCAGTTTAAATAAATCAAAAAAAAATTAAATAAAATAAAAGTCTTTGACAATTAAAAAGTCCCTAAATAGACGAAATGGTGGGAAAAAGCAAGGTGTGGTGGCACACACCCTAATTCCAGTTCTGAGGTGGCGACTGAAGGAAGAGCCTAGTGGGTTCTAGAGCATCCAGGCTACAGATTGAGAGCCTATCTCTAATAAATAAATACATAAATGAAAACTGCCACAACATTCTCTGACACAAGAAGCTGCACCCACATATTGGGTGACAGACATCCGTGGTCATGTGAACACTGCCCGTACCAAGAACTATACAAACACACAGTATGTGTGGCCCCAGAGATGCCAAAATACCACATACAACACCCATATGTCAACAGTACCCTGAGTACATATATGCGTGTGTGTGCACGCGCGTGCATTTTTTGTACTTATAATTGATCCTAAAACCAAATGTGTATTATAGATCCTTCTAACATTCCCTTTTGCACGAGGGGAAACTAAGGCACAGAAAGATTCTTACTCAGTGACAGGGTGTGAGAAAGGTGAGGGAGGGGAAGCCAGACATCCCCAAGCAGGGGAGTTCCCGCAAAAGCTGCCAAGTCCAGCTCTTCCTTGGGGCTGAACCCCAAGTACTGCTAAACTTTCCCCCAAATCAGAAGTCAGCGGCAGCTCGTGTCCCTCAACATCAGCAACAATGTCTCATTTCGGTGACCCGGAACAGGTCCTCGCCCATCCCATTACCAGGTTGTGGAAGTCAAAAGAGGTAAGAGGGTCCTCAAGTCAAGGCCGACCCACTCACCTTCCTTGTTGGAATGCACTCACAAGATCTCCAACCTCTGCAGGGGAAATGCCCCGGCAACGCCAAGCTCCGGAACTACAACTCCCAGGATTCCTTGGGCAGAAGCCCGGGACAGTGTTTGTGCAGGCGCCCTATGCCTGAGTCCTAGAGTCCTCAGATGAATTGGCTTTGCTTTCTAGCCCTCAAGCAGCCGAAATCTCACCAAACATGCGGATTATACTTTGCTTTCTCCCATAGAACATTGCCAAAGTCAAGCGTTCCCATAGAAGTGCTCTGACCACAGAAAGCGTCTGGACTACATGTCCCAGAATTCTCTGTAAGGCTCTTTCCCCACCAGCTTAAGATTTTCCTTTCGCTAAACAGGTGAACACTGGGCTTTGTGGGCACATCTGTCATTTCAGTACTCCGGAGGATGAGGCAAGAGTTCTGCGTGGGTTACTGCCTTAGTTACTCTTCTAGTTCTGTGAAGAGACACCACGACCATTATAAAATAAAGTATTAAGTAGAGGCTTGCTTACTGTTTTGGAGGAATTAATCTATGATCCTTATGTGGAGAGGTATGGTTCTGGAGCAGTAGCTAAGAGCTTTACACCTGATCCACAGGCAACGGGCAGAGAGAAATACTGGGCCCAACATGGGCTTTTGAAGCTTCAAAACCCACCCTCAGTGACACACTTCCCCCAACAAGGTCACACCTTCCAATCCTTCTGATTCTCAAAGAGTTCCACTCCTTGGTGACCAAGCATTCAAATATATGAGCCTTTAGGGGCCACTGTCATTCAAACCACCAAAAGGAGAGCATGCCCCAAAAACACAAGAAAAAATTTATATGGTTGTGTCTGAATCAATTTTTCTTTTCTAGTTTTTTTTTCTGTTTAACACACTGATTTACACAGTGATGGCTATTCTTGGTTTCCAACTTGGCTACATCTGGAAGTAATGAAAACCCAAGTGACTAGGTACACCTCTGAACGATTTCTTTTCTATTTTTAAAGATTTATTTATTTCTTATGTGCATTGGGGTTTTGCCTGCATGTATGTCTGTGTGAAGATGTCAGATCCCCTGGAAGTGGAATAACAGACGGTTGTGAGCTGACATGTGGGTGCTGGAAATTGAACCTGGGTCCTTTGAAAGAGCAGCCAGTGCTCTTAACTGCTGAGCTATCTTTCCAGCCCGGGGATTTTTTTCTTAATTAAGTCATTTAAAGTGGAAGACCCACTTTTAATCCAGATCTTTTGAGGTGGGAAGATCCACCTTTAATCTGGACCACACCTTCTGTTGGCAGCCTGTATAAAGGACACGGGAGAAGGAAGCTTGCTCTAGCTTTCACTAGCAAGTCCATTCCCTCATGGCCATTAGAACCAACTTCCTTGGGATTCTGGTGTTTACTAAGGACCAGCTGAGACTTCCAGCCTTGTGGACTGAACGTTACTGGATTCTTGGACTTTACATTGGTAGACATCCATCGTTGAACTGGCTGGATCACAGCCTGTAAGACATTCTAATAAATCCCCTTTCTATATACATATAGATTCATTCTATACATTCTGTTCCTCTAGAGAACCCTAATACACAAGGTGTGGCGCTTTAAACACAAATGGGCCCCCATAGGCTCTTAGAGAGTGGCACTATTAGGAGGTGACTTGTTGGAGTAGGTATGACCTTGTTGGAGGAAGTGTGTCACTGTGGTTAGGCTTTGAGGTCTCAGATGTTCAAGCTAGGCCCAATGTGGCTCACCTTGCTCTTCCTGCTGCCTGCAGATCCAGATGTAAAACTCTCAGCTCCTCCTCCAGTACCATGTTTGCCTGCATACCACCATGCTTCCTGCCATGAAGATAATGGAGTAACCTCTGAACTGTAAGCCAGCCCCAAGGAAATATGTTTCTTTATAAGAGTTGCCATGGCCATGGTATCTCTTCACAGCAATAAAACTCTAAGAATCAAGGTATTGGGATAAGAGAAGAAACGATGTATAAAGTATTTTGGAGCCTGAGGGATGGCTCAGCGGATAAAAACTCTTGCACCTTTGGAGTTCAGTTCCCACTACCCAAGGTGGCATCTCACAAATGCCTTCAACTCCAGGGCTAGGAGATCTGCCGCCCTCTTCTGGCCTCAGTGGGCACTGCATAAGCACCGAAACAAACAGGTAAAGAGAAATCCATCTTTTTAAAGAAATGCTTGATGTAAACTAAGAAACAAATTAATGATAACAATAAATGAGATATTTGAGCTGGACTGAGTGAAAAAAATATTATACAAGCCTGCATTTACCCTTGCCCAAGAAGCAGACCGTGACTTGACTGCTCTCTATTTATGGTGCCTGGCTCCTCCAGGCTCTTCATCACATACACTACGCTGCACTAAATGTAAACCTCCTGTCACCTCTGAAAGGTTTTAGAAGTCAGGTATTTCCTTTGTTCTGGAGATTTGGTTTATATAGATTCCTTGTGGGAGGTTAGCTTGTACAGGTACGCTGAAGAGGCTCCTCTGCCCCCCGAAACCGTTCCTTCTATGGTCTAGCTTCTCCCCCTCTTTTATTAGAATGGCTTATAGGCTGTGGTCAGGTTAGTCCAATAATGGCTGTCTACCAATGGAAAGCCCAAGAATCCAGCAGTTGTTCAGGATGTCTCAGCTGGTCAGTCAGGATACACTGGAACCCCAAGGAAGGTGGCTCCAATGTTGGGGAATATGATTTTAAGTTGTATTACTTTTGTTTATGTTGCATTATGTTTACCTCTGTAAAGTTATGTTACTTTGCCTGTCTAAAACACCTGATGTTCTCATAAGGAGTTCAGTGGCCCATAGTGAGTGAGGCTGGAGAAATGATAGGCTGGGATGGCAGGCAGAGAGAATGAATAGAAGGAGAAATCTGGGAGAGGAGAGGTCTAGGAGGGAGAGAAGGAGGAAGATATCAGGGTCCAGTCACCCAGCTACACAACCAGCAACAGAGTAAGAAAGAAAGGTATACAGAAATAGAGGAAGGTAAATGTCCAGAGGCAAAAGACAAATGGGTTAATTTAAATTAAGAAAAGCTGTCGAGAAACAAGCCAAGCTAGGCCAGGAATTCATAATTAGGAATAAGCATCTGTATGTGATTTATTTGGGAGCTGGGTGGCATCCCCCCCAAAAGAGTAAATAGTAAAAAGCAATCAACAACATCTTACTGTACCAATATGGGGCTCGAATTTCCATAGTGCCTGAGGAAGCTTGAAAAGAAAAAAGAAAGAGGATAGGTAGGCTAGGGGCTGTCAGGCAGAGATAATAAGTAGGAGGAGGAATCTAGGCTGGGGAGAAAGAGAAAGAGGGAGAAAGAAATGGACACCCCCGGGGCCAGCCAGCCAGGCAGCCATCAGCCAGACAGACACAGAGGAAGCAGGAAAGTAGGACAAACAGAATGAAAGAAAGGTAAAAGGCTCTGAGCCAAAACGTAGATGAAGAGAAACAGGTTGAATTAAGTTATAAGAGCTACTGTGACAAGCCTAGGCTAAGACCAAGCATTCATAACTAATAATAAGTCTCTGTGTCTTCATTTGGGAACTGGTGATTCAAGACAGCTTGTATTATCTTAACAAGAGAGCAATTACCCCACTTCACTCCGACCCTCACCCTGGTGCACACACGGACACACACACACACACACACACACACACACACACACACACACACACACGCACCTGCACACATACATGATGTAGTTTGGAATGTGATGTCTCTTCCCACAGCTACAGCTCAGATCCCATTTTGACCAGGAGGAAGCAGATTTGCCTTAACGACCTCATCAAAACCCAGGTACCTATACCTTTTTATATTTAAGTCTTAAGGGACCACAGGGATGGCTCTATTTTTAGTGTTACCAGGGAAACGGGGCATCTTCAACATCTTCCTCGCTGGCTAATGTCGATTACTACCAGTTTCCCCAGTGTCCATGTTCTCCTCTGTCTGTGGAAAGCCTTGCCCGAGTCTTCATGTGTACAGAGTTTATTGCTATCAGTTCTCTCGAGTTGATCCAAGTGTGAAGCTCATGCAAAGTTCTTTCCACGTCCCTCACACTGATGAGGTTTCCCAGCACTGGGAACTCTCTGAGGAGCAAGCACTAGCTTGACCGTCACGACCAAAAGCCTCCCCATGGCCTTTGCCTTCAGAGAGCTTCTCACTCGTGTGGGCTCTCTCGTGTATAACAAGGCTTGAACCACACCTCACGGACTTCCCACACTTCTCACATGTGAAGGCTTTCTCACGAGTATGAACCTGTTTTCTGAGATTGAGTAGGATGACCAGTAAGGCTAAAGCCTTTCTCACATTCTTTACACTCCTACCATTTCTCACCAGTGAGTTCTTCCACATTGAGCAAAACATGATCTATAATCAAAGGCCTTCCCACGTTCCTTACATATATAGGGTTTCTCACCAGTATGAAGTAGCTGGTGTCACATAAGGCTAGGGTCACTACCAAAGCCCCCCCATCCCACTCCACCCATAGTCATTTTTTTTTCTAGAGCTGAGGACCGAACCCAGGGCCTTGGGCTTACTAGGCAAGTGCTCTACCGCTGAGCTAAATCCCCAGCCCTGGTCTTTGTATTCATAGAGTTTCTCACTAATGTGGACTTTCTGGTGGTCAACATGTCTTGAACCACAGCTAAGGGCTTTCTCCATTCCTCACATTCATAGTGTTTCTTACCAGTATGGATTTTTTTCATACTGCACAAACTTGACCTGCAATCAAGGCCTCTGAGAATTTCTTATATTCATTCATAGGTTTTCTTGCCAGTGTGAACTGTATGATGTCAGGCGGGTTGATGACTTCATCAATGTAAGGAACACATGTAAGGCCTAGGGTGAACAACCCTGGTCAGGAGTGATAAGCAATAGAATGATGTAAGTAAACCACAAATGGAGTAGTGATAAGCTATAAGCTATGTGTTGAAGTAGGGATAAGACTAGAAACCTAGCCAGGAAAGAATATAAAAGATGAAGCCTCAGACCCGAGCAACAGAGCTCGTCAGGCCCTCACGCGAGATGACTCTCCTCTGCCAGAGATGTGAAATCCTGTCCCCAATGCAGACGTGGCTGACCTGAGGAAGGCTGACCCAAGATCCAGAGGAACAGAGGTGGCGAGTCCTGACCTGTACACCCGGAGAGGTACTCCTGCTTCCATTTGGAAGACAGGATGAATATTGCTTGTAATCTTACTGTTTGAATAAATGAGTGTTATACCAAGTCTGAATCAAGAG